ACCCCTGGAAACAGCCGGGGTTTAGGGAGAAACAAGATCGACTGTGCGAGAGCAGCAAAACCGTGGGCTGGTGCTGAGATCTGGAGTCCAACTCATGGCCCTACAATGCCTCTGTGGAAAACCCAAGAGGAATAATGCTTGTTGTGTCTAGGGACAAAGCAGGGCATACACAGGATGTGTGAGCTGTGCCAGCTGTGCCCTGCAGACCCTGTATGGAGGGCAGCCTTTGGTGTGTATCCCACTTGGGCTGGAGCTCTGCCGGAGTCCTGTGTGCACAGGGAATGGAATCTTGCTGACAGCAGAAAGAAATACACTCTTAAAAATAAAAAGAGGAATAATTCCAATTTTTTTTTAACTGAAATATTGCTAGAACTTTAGTTGCTTTTGTGTGGTACTCAGAAAGAAAATTAAGTGATTGTGAAGGGGTATGATTGCCCCTTTTTTAGGTTTTGTGGAAACATACAGGTGTGGATTAACTTTTTGTGGCAGGATAAGGAGAGATTTATAAATCTCTTAAAACTGAACCTTAAAGTCTGAGAAGCTTCTGCCATTCTCATGCCATTTCTTTCCTGCAGATTTGAATGGGATAGATCTGACTCCTGTGCAAGATACTCCTGTGGCTTTGAGGAAGGAGGACACATACGTCCATTTTAATGTGGACATTGAGATTCAGAAACACATTGAAAGATTAACAAAAGGTATGTGGTACCAGAGACCTGAAAAAGGGCCCAGGAGCTTTGGGAGCACAAACACTGGGCTGCTCCTGAGCTGGTGCTGCAGGGCTCCAGATCTAGACAAGGATAAAAATAGACCTCTGCATCCTGTCCCTTTCAAATTGGTCACTGGGATGGCTTGCAGGCAAGGGAGAAATGAAAAGAGATAAAAACAGAGCAGTCTGCTCTGCTACACAGGTATTGAGTTGCTTTATCACATGCTTAGTCATTGGTACCTGGGTGTGGGCAGTGGAGTGAGGAGTTTAAACTGTTAACAGTGTGATGAGCATTTTAAGAACACAGTGGAGTTTTTGAGTAAATAACAGAAATGCGGGAGGTAATTCCCTTCAATTTAAGTAGAACAACTTAATGGCAGATAAGTTTTCAGATAGCAATTATGACTAAGACTTAACTTTTCTGTTCAACCATTTTTCCCCCTAGGTGCAGCTATTTTCTTTGAATTCAAACACTACAAGCCTAAGAAAAGGTTTACTAGCACCAAGTGCTTTGCTTTCATGGAGATGGATGAAATTAAACCTGGGGCAATTGTTATAGAACTGTAAGTGACTCACGATTACGGATGACACTGACAGAGGAAATGAACCAGCCTTCAGCTACAATGTGTGGCTTGTTGTATTAAGGAAGGTTTCTTGGACTCATTAGATTGACTTCCATAGGGAGTATTTCATTTTTAATAAATAGGGGAAGATAAAATGCTTTCAGGCAAGTAAGATGGTTAGAGACTCCTCTCAGAAACTAGACCAGTTTCCAAATAAAATGCTGGTGTTTGTAATTTAATGTTGTATGAATTTAATGAAGTCTGTAGGGGAGATTTTAATTTGGAGCTTAGCCTGAGTGTCAGATCTGCTATATTTAAAAAAAAATTAATCAACTCAGTCTTTTGGTACAGAACTTCTATAAAGGAAATTTGATTTGAGGCATGAGGTAGCAATTTGCAATTAACTTTGTGAACATTTCAAAGCAGTATTGAGTGGTTGTGGTGTGCATCCTCTCCTTGCTGAGTGACTGAAGGTCTGAGGGAGGAGTTTGAGGATTGGGGTTTGTTTTTTTACTCAAGAAGAGGGTGAATCTTGCAAATCTTGGAAGAGTGCTTAGTCTGTGCTAGCTAGAGTACTTCTGAAGTACTGACTAACTGATACTGGGTCTCTCCTACAATCAAGATTGTTATGTTGGGAATCTCCTTACAAAAATATTACATTAATTTACATACTGAAATTTTTCTTCTGTTAAAATAATCATCCAGAGAAAATACCATTTCTTCCTGTAAACCTACTCATTACTGTTGCTTCCAGCAAGCCTTGTCAGATTATTTAAAAGATGAGGGTAGTAAGATCTGTAGAGGATGAGCTTTCTAGTTTGCCTTCATCTTCCTGCACAGCCATTAGTGCTTGGATTAATGCATTTTCTTGTGGTTACAGGTACAAAAAACCCACTGACTTTAAAAGGAAGAAATTGCAACTGTTGACCAAGAAACCACTTTACCTTCACCTCCATCAAACATTGCACAAGGAATGACCCCAGTTGTGAGACCTCTGTGAACTGAACCACAAGTCCTGGTAGCAGTGTAGTAGCCTTAGGCTCCGAAGGGCAGGAAGACGACTCTGTTCATGCCAGTAGGTCACACGAGACCATCACCCACTGCACAGCACTACTTCAGGGGCAGGGACAAGCCCACCATGCAAGTGCAAGATTTTTTTCAGTAACTTCCAGCTACAGGTTTTTCCAAGAGCCCTGATGTAGGTTGAGACTGCTTTTCCTAAGTTTGCTGTTTATCACTTTTTATCTTTAACCATTCTTCTCCTTTTGCCTCAAGCTCCCCCTGAGGATGGAGAGTGCCCCTTTGCCAAACCTGCAGCAATAAAGATGTGGCAGGCCTACTAACTGTTTACACTGCTGTGCTATTGTAGTTCCTCTCATCTGCATTTCACAGTCCTCTGGAGTGAGCAGGGTGACAGAAGACTGGGAGAAGGACGAGGTGGGCTGGGAAGGAGCTTGAGGTACTGCAAGTGCTTTGAAGTGAGGGAGTGGAAGATGCGGGTCAGGTGGGTGGCCACGAGTCCCTGTGGCCAGGTCAGGAGGAGGACAACTGCAGATGAGAACTGAACTATGATTTAACAGCCTTGCCTGAGTTTTGGATGCATGTAACAATCCTTTTAATCACTGTTACTCCCTAATAGAGCTATTCTTTTCTGTTACCTTGTCACAGAGTGGTTTGCAAAGGTGGGTGGGGGATAGAGAGGCGTTCTCCAGGGCTTTGGTCCCAGTGACAGTGGGCATTTTGCCATTTCAGTGACAGCAGGACAGGCCCTCAGTGCTGAAGTGTCAATTTTCCAGAGCTTTGTATAAAGTAGGTCTGGCTAGCAGGCTGACCCACCTTTTACATGAAACTGCTGTTCTTATGGAAACTGATTGTATGCAGTTTTCTGCATATTTTGTGCAAGTCTGGAAATTTACTCAAAAAATTACCTTTTTATGTAAGTAGATAGAATTATCATTTATTTTCTATATTTTTGATTTGGTGTGTTATAAGCTGCAGGACATTGGCTTATTATGACACACTTGCATTCACCTTTTGACCTGAAAAAGGGACAGAAGTAGAACCCAGTCAAATCTTTCATATATTTGCGTGGATATTTAATATGATACTTTATGGTTTGATAAACTTCTTGCATATCTAACTAGTGCCTGAATACTCTGCTATGCTAACTAAAGACCCAGCTCCCAGAATAGTGTCAGTTATTTTAAACAGCCTGGATGCAGGTGTATCATCCATCTCTCTTTTCTGTTGCCTCACTCCAAGATGTTACATCATGTGTTAAGGGAAGGGATGTTACTTTTCCTCATGCTGTTTGTCTGTCTCCACTCAGCTATTCAGCATTTTTAGCTTTACCATACTGATTAGGATAAAAAGCTGGTTTTGAATGTCCTAATCTTCTTGCCTTTCTTTGCTCTGGTATTACTAGGGATGACATTATTTAGGTGTTACAACAAAAGTCAGCAACACTTGCTCAAATTCCACTGCTGGCTGGAGGGGAAAAAGCGCAGTTGAATTGTCCTGTTTATGGGTCTTTACAATATCCCACTTGTTTTAAAGCTGATGGATGACCATCAAGATATCCCTGTGAGTTATGGAAACACCTCTGAATGCAGCAGTCTGGACACCAGACTAAAGGAGAGGATACCTACTGTTAAAAACCAAATACAAATCATCCTCTGAACTCTGCAAAAGGACGGAGCAAAGGATTAATCTGTGGTTGCAACTAAATCTGAGCTTGGCTCATTTACCTGTTAGTGGTCCCCTGGCTGGCTCAGGACTTGTTCTGACTGAGGAATTGCAGGATCTGAGTGCCCCTGAAAGGTGGAAGAGCAGGTTCTGGAGTTCAGTCCAGCTCTGCCATCCAGGGTAAGCACTGCAGTTGGGTGTGTGTGTGTCCAGGGTGAATGCTGGTGCATCCAGAGGGAGATTCCATCCAACTTCTGTTACTATTAGCAAGGATGGGCAAGGGAGGAGACACTGACCCTCACAAAGGCTTGTATGGGGAAGGAAAGATCCTGAACTTGGAGAACTTGACTTTAAATCATGGATATTCATCAGTGTGTGTATCATCAGCCACCGTGCAAACTGAAATACTGTCCCTTGAAGTACAAACCCATCGTTTCTGCTGCTTACCTGGACCCTTCCCCAGCTTGTAGATGTCTGTATTAATGCCAGTTATATGAAATGTCAATTTTGAAGTATTTTTTGTTAAATACACAAGTAGAGCTTTGTATTTAACTGATTGTGAATTAATGTCTGTTGAGTGTGAAATACCATTTTTAAAGTTGCTTCTATCCCTTGCTTTTTTTTCTGTGAACCGTCTCAGTGCCAGGACTGCTGCTGCACACACCACAGGCTTCGGGATTGTTTTATGCTTCAGTGATGTTCCAGCTTGTCTTTCATCTGAAATCTAAAGCTTTACACTTGTACTGTAAGAATATAACACCTAGATGGCAACTTTAATGGCTGCTTGTACTCTGGCAGTAAAGCTGTAATGGCCTCCCAGTAGGGTTTTTTATTATTTTGCACTGTTTTCCTTTTTTCCTCCCTCAGGCTGCCTTTTGGACAGAGCACTTGTGAGAAACCTTACTCACTGAGACAGTCAAAAGCCTGCTGTTCCAAATACTTGCACTAACACTTGAACTGCAAGTGTAGGGTGTGTTTTTGAGTGATTCAGTGATGGCAGCTGCAGTAGATGTTTACATGGTTTACATACCCCCAACTCTGCGTTACAGAAAGCTACTTTCTTTTCTGATGGAAGGAGAAAAGGCTCTCCAAATCCAGCCTTTCCTCTTAAAGAAACTGAATTGCTCTTAACCCTGAGGAAGATGAAAGCTTGGCTCTCAAACTTCATGTGATGCTGTGAGGTACTCTTGAAAGCAGAAAGCAATCAGGGAAGTTCTAAGTTTCTCTAGTGGAGAGGGACTGTGGAAACACAGGTCAACTCCACAACTTCCTCAAGGCTTCCAGCTCTGGAAGATGTATCCCCCATGGTCCTCATTACATGAACCAAGTCCATATTGTGTCAGAGTAGATCAGGGTGAAGGTAACACGGTCGTTACCCTGCAGCAACATTAATCTGGCCTTGATTCAATTCTCATTCTCAGAACTGTAGTGTTCTCTGTCACATTACTGAACCAATGTCCTTTCTGAACAAAACGTGGCACTGAAACAAGGCCTTCGGGGTTTAGCAAAAGGAATTTTGCTTTTTATTATAACTTTCCTTTGAATACAGTGTCATTTGTGCTTCTGATCTCTGACCAGACATTTTTTTTAAAAAACCCCAGAACATCAGAGTCCTCAAGTAAACCCCTGGCCTACAGTAACTGCAGCTCAATGATGTGATGGAGAAGGCAGGTTCAATATCATTTTACTTAAAAAATTATTTCCACAGGAAATGATTTGATTTACATTTTTAACGAAATTAGTTCATTTGCCAACTGGTTACAAAGGCTACATTGAATTAAAACTCTCCACACAGGTACTTCCTTCCTATTGCACTTTTAGAGTAGGTTCAAGTCCATCACAGAAAGGTTCTTGCAGCCCAAGTGGATGGATGAGTTTGTGATCATAAATGCACATAAGATGTCTGTAGCAACTGGATAAAAATTAATCCTGCGAAAGCTGAGATATACTGAAATGAGACCGATGTCTTCAAACCAAGAGCCAGTTCCTAGAGTTGTGCACATGGGAGCCGGGTCTGTGGAGCCGGCCGGGTGCTGCAGGCAGGGATCCTGCGCTGGGGCTGTGCGTAGTCCTTGGGGCCGGCTGCCCTCAGTCCCTGGGTGCCGGCGGAGGCAAGTCTCTGTTGGGAGAAGGAGCATAGTCCCTGGAAGCCTGCGGGGGTAGCCGAGGGCCTGGAGGATAATCCCTGGGGCCAGGAGGGCCGAGGGGGCGGAAGGGAGGATGCCCACGTGCGTAGCCTCTGGGATCGGGGGGAGGCGGGAGTGGGACTCTCATTCCTAAACGTGGACCAGGTAAGAAATCTCTTCCAGCCGGAGGTGGCAAGGGAGCACCACAACCTAAAAGGAAAGGAAGTTGTGGAGTTAAATGAAATCTTGCTTTAACCTAAAGCCCATGAATTGTATTCTAGGGACTTTTGGCTGCTGGTTTCCATTTTAGAGTAAACAAGGAAAAATACCTTGGCATTAAGGAGGCTTGAAAAAACCCAGCCCGTCCAAGCTTACTGGGCCAGCTAAAGCCCATGAAGCATGAGGAAGCCGTGTGCTAAGGAAAAGCAGATCTGTGTTCTGCAATCAGGCTCCAAGAAGTGAAGTGTCAGCACAGAGCACTGCAGCCGTACCTTGGGGCCCAGGGAGAGGCCGAGGCCCGAAGTGCCCCCGCAGAGGAGGTGGTGGTGGTCCTGGCGGTCCGTAGCGAATGGGCGGTGGAGGCCCCATCACTGGGGAGCTCATCAAAGGTGCCCCAGGGAAAGGAGAGGGGCCTTTGGCACCAGCGTTACCCTGGGAAAGATGAGGTTACGCTTCACTGAGTTACTGCAGCAGACAAGCACCGACTGCTGAACAAACCAACTGTTTCCCAGAGGAAAACAGGTACAAGGTAGGGGGTGGGGAAAGAAAGAAAGAAAAATAACCCAAACACACTCCAAACCACATTAACCAGGCAGGAAACAGGACAGCTACTGCACCAGCATCATCCCTTCTCCCAGAACACTGCTGGCCTACCCAGGAGTGAGTGGTTAGTGAGATAAGCTCGTGTAGATGAAGTTGTACTAAAGAAAAGTTCAAGACCTGTTGAGGTGTCCTTGGTGGACACCCCTTTGATTTACACATGGAATTGTGCTTAAACACCACAATTAAGTCAGCTGCTTAGGATTATTGTTGTAGTCACTCCAAAGTGTTTGCCCACAGTCCTTAACAAGAAACATATAATTTTCTCAATCCCACAAAAACCAGAGAACAACTGATCCATCATTAAAGAAGTGTTTTGAGACAGAGGGATGAGCCCTTGGTTAGTTCCACAGAGCAGTTATTCAGCACTTTAGAACACCAAGCCTGTTACTCCTCTCCATCAAAGCATCACCATGTCCAGCCTCTGAATACTCACTGCAGCTGGCTCCATGGAGGAAGGTGAATCTGTAGTTACATTGGGGGCTTCAGACTCTTTGGGAGAGGGTTGCTTTTGGGGTTTTTTTGGACAGCAAAATAGTGACAGGATACAGACAAGACAGAACATGATACAGTTAAAGAAGCAGGAGGAAGTACGTGTATTGGTACAAGTACAAGTATGTATTGGAAAGGGTTCCTGAAGGTTGGGGCATTCTCAACTCACCAATCCATCCATTGCTGTGGAAGGGGAGGAGGTTCTTGGCTCGCTGCTGATCAGGGATGCCACAGCAGGCCCAATATCTATAAAGAGAGCCATGAATAAATGTCCTACCATGCTTAGGGTAGGGAAAGTGGGCTTCAAATTGCCTCTTTGAAGTGAAAGAGTAATGAGTAAGTTGCAGACCACACAACTTACCAGGAACAGACATTCTTCCAGGCAGCTCTGGAGGCCTTCGTGGGGCAGGGGGGCCATCCACCATTGCACCTTAAGGGAAACAAGAACCCCAGAGACCCTAAATAACACAAACCTAAGCTATTTCTATTAATAAAACCCTACCACAAACCACCCAGTGTATTAATAGAGCAGGTATCAATATCAACATTCCTAGAACCAATATCTACCTTAGTGTTTCTGGGTTTGTAGCTTAAGAGGGAGTTGTCAAAAAAGGGGATTTTCACTGCTTACCAAATTCACCCCTCACGCCTTCTCTTCGAGGAGCAGAGAGGGGCCGGGCAGGGACATCAATCATCTGTGTGGGGGATGGATTTCCTCCACTCACAGGTGATGGGCCAGAAGAGCCATCTCTGCTTAAGGGCCCTGTGCCAAAGAATTAAAACCACTCGATTTACCTTTCTACAATTCAGCACAGCCATATGTTTTTATGATGTACTGACTCCAAGACCAAAGCTTTAGGGAGAAGCAGCAGCATTTACCTCGTCGCGGTGGGATCTGGCGGTCAGGTCTGCCTGGAGTTGGCTTTACAATGACTGGTCTTTGAAGCACGATGATTTTTTGGTTTACTTCTATTAATCTGATTTTGAAAGATAAAAAATAAAGGTCTTTTATTATGATTCAAGAAATACATGTGAGTTGTATGTATTAGAATGTAACAAGGCAAACTGCATTGTAAAATATTACAGCTTTCACCAAGAACTGTTATTTTAACCATCAAAACAGTTTAACAGTAGTTAAAATTAGCAACTTAAAAATGCACTGCACATTCTGAGCTTTTTCTCACCCAAGGAACTTCCAGCATGTTCAAAGAGCAGGAGAGAGGGTCTGTTCTGTACTTACTTCTGTCTCAGGTTGGCTGCTTCTCTTTTTTCTTCAGCAAGAGCTCTCTCAGCCGAGCGGGCAATGAGCTGGTAGGGAAAATTTTGTCAACTGCATTAATGGCACCAATGTGACATCAAATACAAACTGTTGGCATCAGAAAAGGATGAACGTTCTTACCCAGTTGTCATGTGCCTTTTTCTCATGAGCAGCAATCTGAGAAGGAAATAAACCATTTAGTTTTTATCCAACTACCAGGATTTCCCATAATGCACCTCAGAGCACCGGAATGATGCAGTAAAAGATGACACAATAACCAGGAAGCAACAAGTTTACCTGATTTTTGTAAGATCTCTCTGTTTTCTGCAATTCTTCTTCCATATCTTGGATCCTTTGCCTGTGCAAAAGGAAAAAAGAGGAAAAGGAGAGATGTTTGAGTAAATTTTTCTCAGTGCTGAAATAAAAGGAAAATCATAATCAGAAATTCAAGTTACTTGTAAACTTTCACTTCCTCAATGGCCAGCACAGCTTTTTCATCTGCAGCACACAATTTCTGCTCCTTCTCCTGACGCTCATACTCTTCCTGAGTTAGTTTTCTGCACAGGGAAAAAAAATGCACCATATAGTCCAGCATTCTACATCTATTACAACTCAAAATCAAGGTACCCCCCTGCCAATGACAGCAATATCAAAATCTATAATAATGTGTGAGATCACAGAGAGAAAAAAGAGGTTTTTTAGAATGAGAGACAGAAATCCTGTCTCTTGAAACCAACAGACAAACCCTTTGTGTATAAAACTTAAAATTAGGGAGTTGACTAGAAAGTTCTGTCAGCTTCTGAATATCTGTCAGAATCTACCAGCTGCAGACAGTTCATTCCTTCAGATCCTGTGGTTTTCCTAGCAATGCCACAGATTGCAATCCAGATTTACAAAGGTACAGACAAGGAAATCGACTGGACTGACACCAGCCACGGGAAATAAAGAAATGAATGTGTGGTGAGAATAGGAAAATTTAGGGCCCAGGTGACAAACACATTCAATAGTTATTAATCATGTGGGAAGCTTTTTCCAAGTATTCTCCATACCAATTCAGTATATCAATTTCCACAGTCTTTTTATAACCTCATAGTTCATTATTTTTTTTATTTTTCATATTTTTATGGAAGTATTTAAGAGGTCTATAGTGTGTTTAACTTACAGGAGCTATCCCACAGAACTGGAACCATTTAACTAATAGCCAATTAACTATTGCTCATAGCCAGTTCCAACAAAATCCATTTCCTTGGCTAAAAGTCAAAGCAGTTTTCCAGAAAATAAAAATTTCAAGGAGTCCTTCACTCTAATCTAGAAGTACTAACAGGCAGTGTAATGTCCTGTATGTTTTGTGAGGAACAGAAATTCTTCACACAGGTCAAGATGAAGTTTTCCCTGAAGGGTGGGCTACCCTCCACTTCTCCATTCTAAGTTTATTACACATGGATCCATGGAAGTTACAAAATCAGGCAGTTTCACTACAGCCTCATTTCCAACCCTGTGCTTCCCCCAGCCAACACACTTACACCTTAGGAACTTCAACTGCTTCTCCATCACAATTTCAGCTTTTCTACAGAATTTAGCTGAGAATGTGCCTGAATCCTATCCTCAAATTTTCCCCACAAAACAGAGATGGTATTACAGACATTTCAGTAAGTAAATAAATGGATGAGGAATAAACACACACAGAGCAGATCCTCACCACTGGCAATTAATTCCTCTCAGCTGCCATCACCAACTCAGCCTTCTTTTAGCCCTTTGAGAATGCAAGAAGCTCACAAGGCTGAAATACTAAAGTTTCTACATTATGAGAATTAGACTCACTGAACAGAAGTCAGAGTAACAGAAACAAATCTTAACGGCACCTATGTTCTCCTTGACACTTCTGCATGATGTAACAGAGCAACCACAGAATTTGCAGATCAAGCCACCCACCTGCCCTCTCCAGAAGTTTAAAAGTAGAAGGCAATATGGTGTGTGCACACTGACAGTCTTTTTAGAGTCTCTGCAATGGTGGCAAAAGTAAAGAAAGGATACCAGCTTCAGCTGTATTGAAAGACTAGCCATCACATCACTCATTCCAACCACAACTTCCAAGTTCTTTGATCCTTCTGAGCGAAAAGCATTTGGACAGTGCCCATGCTGCAACAGACAGAGTAAGGAAAGGCTTACTTCTGGAGTGCCATCTCCTTCTGCTGGTACAGTTCACCAAGTATCTCCACCTTCTGCTGAAGAGTTTTGCATTCATTTTCCAGTTGCGTTTTGGCTGACTGCAGTGAAGAGGAATCATGTTCCAATGTTTTTATCTTCTCTGTTGGAGAAGCAGTTGCAGTAAGAACCATTAATGGCCACTTACACGCTCTGTTTCTTCTTAAGCCACCAACAGCACTAAGCAGTTATTTTGCTAAACCTACCTTCCAGCTCGTGTCTTGCTGTTACTTCATCATTCAGTTTGGATTGCAGAAGATTTCTGTCTTCTTCAACGATAGATAACATCGTTTTGACCTGAAAAGAAGAGCAGAGTTTAAGATCATAGGCATAGCAGTAATGTGACTGCATTTATTAGATACTTGTGCAACATACCCTGGAGACATCCATCATCTGCTTTATCTGAGCCTTCATCTTCTCACTCTCAATATCTAAAAGAGAAAAATATCTTTGTTTCCCCTGTTTTGATCATGAACAAGTCCGTGGACAACTGTTATAAGTAACACTCCCTACCACTTTAATCTCTGCATTCTTACATGGTCAAAAAAAACCCCAAAAATCAAGAAGTGGGAATTTCCAGCCCACACAGACTATAGGTAGGAGAAAAAAAAAAAAAAAAAAAAGGATTTCAAAACCAGAGACGCTGGAAATACATGTGCAACATCACAAATGACAAACTGCCTGAATAGCTTTGAAAACATCTATTTCAGTCTTTCAGATTTAAAAAATGTGATTACCTAAATTAGTTATTTATCTGGAGGCAAGCAGAAAGCTCATTAAAAATTCATATAAAAAATAAATGCACCAGAACAACAAAGCTGAGACTCTCAGCCTTTGGAATGCTCTTAATTAGCAACCTTTATACACACTCTTTACAGCCATGTCACTACACCCATGGTTTACCTAAAAGGTAATCTAAAAGCAATTATTGACCTTGTAGCCAGTTCCTCCCTTCAGTTAGGGATATTTTGTGTTTGATGATTCAGGCTGGCAGCTCTATATGCATGGATTCCCCCTGATCCCTCTTTAACATGCCACAAGCACAGCACCACATGATCCTCAGGTAGGATGACTGTACCTGGCAACTCTCCATTGGCCAGATCATCTCCTGGGCTCCACTCATGCCCTCTGTCATCCTTCTTGGCCTCTGAATCCATGTCCAGCTGCTTCAGCTGCATAATGCAATTGGTTAAAACCTAGTAAAGAAATCAAAGGTTCAATTGCCCTGCATTTTGTGAAATATGACAGAGTATTTTATGATGCATAACATTGAAAGCAAGCTGGTTAAGAAAACCTACTTCAATTTCATTTTCTTTGTAGGCAAGTGTCTCTTCTATGTCCTTCTGAGATTTCTGATACAGCTGAATCTGCTCACAGAGCTCAGAATGCCTCTCACTCCAACCTTCAGCTTCTTTTAGCAGCTGTATGAAGCACCAAGGCAAGATGATTACTTGCTGTGTTTTTAGTATACGGTGTATGTAATTAAATCTATTTTACTGCCAGCTCTGGTGATAACTGATCACCATGGGTCACAGATAAAGGGTAAACTTCAGTTCGCAGTGTCACTGCTGCTCCATTGGCAGAAGTGGATACTGGGAAACCTTCTGCAGTTTATTATTAGGTGGCTTTAAAAATTTGTCATTTTCTCAGCTAACATCCTGACATCAAACTGCTCACACACCTCAAAATATGAGGAATTAATTGCAGTACAGAGGTAATCAAAACACACTCCTTAAAAAGTCCCATACTTTACATATGAGGAAAGAAAACAGATATTTACAATTATTTGGAAAAGAACTGTCCCAACATTCCAGGGCTAAAACTCCCCCCCATTATCTTTCCTTTCTGAAATACTTTCTGGCAATTGTTCACCATTATTCCTTGAGCCCTGATCCCAAGTGGCAATCTCTCCATCATGCCTTGACTACCACCTCAGCACAGACTTCCTGTGACTTTGCTGCCAAAAACTGCAAAATGAACTGGCAAAGCCTTCATACCAGAGATGTGGCTCAGCTGCACAAACAGCCTGTACAAGCAGGCACAAAGCATTTAAATTTTATCATGGTAATAGAAAACATGGAATTCTGCCATGTTAAAGAAACAGAGACATGCTGAAGCTACACCCAAAAAAGTTAGGAATAAAGGCTGGATATTTTGTTTGAAAGACCAGGTTGCCTGGCCTGGGCATAACTTACCTGTTCCTTGCTCTTTTTCAGTCTAGCGTTCTCTTCCTGCACATGATGGAGCTCAGATTTCACCTTTTCTTCACTCAGTTTAGCTTCATTAAGGGCTATCTGCACCTACACATGAGACAAAAAGGAACGAGAAGACAAAGTCAAACTATAGTGGAGCGACAGCTACAAAAAACCTAGTTAAATGGAAAAGAGAAAGGTACATATGCACAAACAACCTGCAACCTGCCAAGCCAGCATTTTCTATTTCATAGATAAGAATTTTCCTGGTACAAAAACTTATGACTGTTGAGGGGGTGTAAATAATGCTTTACCTCTGAAAGCTCTGCAGAATGCATAGCGATAGCTTCCTGCAGCTTCTCCAAGGACTTCTGGGTTTCAGAGAGCTAAGAAAAAGATGAGCAGTGACTTAGTGTTATCCTGGCACAAACCTCAGCTTGAGTAATTATTTAACCTGTGTCTTCTGGAAGCATAAAAGCTAAGTCAAAACACCAACAAGCTTCCATTTCAAGCATCCATTTGCTGGCAGCAACATAGTACCTTATCAACAAGGCAAGGAATAGAAACATTCAGCACATTCAAATCTACTTCTACCCCTGACTCCGCCTGTCTGTGGCCAGGAAGTTCCCTGTACACCTGTGCAGTCCACAGTGAGAGGAACTGCTATCATTAGCAGCAACCTTTGAGCAAAACAAGGCCAAAGAGCTTGTTGATACAGAAAAATCAGGTTTTAAAAAGAAGAAACAGAAAACAAATATGTTTGGCCAACAAGAAAGAGGGGCAGCTCAGAGATCTTCACATTTATTGTAGAAATGCTGCTCTGAGTACAAGAAAATGTCTCTTCCCAACCTGAAACCTTCAGCTTATATCACCCAAGAAATTCCTGGCCCATCTGGGAAGTATTAGACTAGCCCATGACTTGAATGCATTTGTTTGTGTGTGAAAGCACATAACCACATCAAGATCTTAAAAAAGAAACAACCCTACAAAGCCCCCTAAAAAAACCCCCAAAAAATAAATCAACAGACTAATCCTTTGATCTTGGGATAAACCTAAAATTTCATTTAATCTCCCTTTTTGAGGGGGCTCACCTTGTTTGTTCTACCTCTATCTAAGCCATCAGGTCATGACCAGCTTTTAGGGCACATCAAGCTAAGGACAATGTAAGACACAAATGTAATTGTTCTAACCTTGTTTTGTTTCTTCTCATTCTTTTTTCTCTCTGTTTCAAGCATGGTGTGCAGATTTTTCACTTTGTTATCTAGCTGCTGATTTGCTTCTTCCAATTCTTTGACAGTGTCCTTAAAAAAACCAAAAATGTAAAACCAACCTAAAGTAAACTATTTTTATTTGTGTTGCTGCTTTCAGTACAGAGACAGTTAACTTTCTCTTACCTTAAGCCCTGCAGTTTCATCTGAGAGAATGTCTTTTTGTTCTTGGGCCACTTTCACAGATTCCTTTGCTTCCTTTATCTAAGCACAGAAACAACCACACAGAACTGAGGAAATTGTCAACATAATATTCAATATGAATAGAAAAAAAAATTTATTAGATATTGCATTGACTGTGTCATTAAAGCAATAACAGATAATTAGGAAACAAAGGACAGCTTAGAACAATACCTTTTGATCATATTCTGACAACTTTTCTAAGATTTCTGTCTTTTCTTGAAGAAGGTTTTTAATCTTTTCAGCAAGTTGTTTTTCAGTCACTAGGAAGAAAAAGAAAGCTTACAGCAACTGTACTTCATATACTGCGGAAAATAAATCAGCTATTGTTACTACAACTTCAAGGAACATTTTCAGGTAATAACTAAGGCATAAACATGGAGAGTGTTAATTCCTTGGCAGTCAGCCCTTTCTGCATCTCCAGCTTTCACTTAAAGTAAGGATTGAAAACAAGACCATAAAGCTGACACAAAGCTCCTGCATCCACTTCACAGAACCCAGAGCAGAGTGAGGTGCTGGCTACACACAGCTGAGGTGTGTTCAGGGGAAGACTTGACAGTGAAGTCTCTGACACTCAGGGACATGCCTTCCTTAACAACCACACTTCTCCTCTATTGAAGCTGGATGTTTCATCAGCAAAGGTAAGAGGATGAAAGCTCTAAAAGATCTACTGGGAACAGAACAAGAGACAGTCAGTTGGGAGACAGCAGCAGTAGTCTTAAGGACCTGATCTGCTTAGACCACAAAAGGGCTGTGACCAAGCAGCAGCCTTCAGGCATGCATTTGCTTCTCACCCTAAACAAGGCACCAAGCAGCCCTTAGGATTCAATGAAAATTGTTAACATACTTTAATTATTTTATTACAAATTATTTTAAAACCACACAGTTGTTGTTTTTCAAATCCTAAGCCACCTTGGTCTGACTGCCCCAAGCGCCATTTTCCTCACAGCAAATCCTGCAGCACAACAAGGAGCACTGGTTGTTCCAACTGCATCCCACGGAGTGCAATGGCAATTGCTACTCCTCCTTTCCCTCCCACACGAGGGCTCCTGGGACAGTGTATCCTAGGCCCTTCCCACTCTGGGCAGAGGAGAGACAGCAAGTGGCTGCCAAGGTTCAAGATAGCCCTCAGCAGTTTAAAGGAAGCAGCAATCCCTGCATTAGCTTGGCCTCCCAATTTTACTACTGTGATTAAGCGAGGATAGTAGATTTTTATCCTTGGGACTCCAAACGTAAGCTATGTTTTAAAGCATTTTTGTTACTGTTAATATTCCTCTATTTTGGATAAAGATTTTAATAGCAATGTGGCCTGCACCATGCTTGAAGAATATCTACTTGTTCTGATCTTTATTAAGTAGATTCTGTACAGCATTGAAAAGAAGATTATTTGGGTGGTGGAATTAAATCCATGTTCCTTGTTCTTCTTTAGGGGTGACTGCTAAGTAATTTCTGCACCACCAATACCAATAGTCTTCCTGCACTACAGAAACCACCTCAGAGATCACAGATGGGCTTTTTTCAGCTCATTAATTCTGCATTAACTGTGTATAAGGAAACTTCAGTATAACCATAATGAAACTAGAGAGGAATGACTGGTAAGTAAAATGTGAGGGGGGAAAAGACAGACTGCATATGAAGACAATTCTTCCATATTTGAATTTTCTATTCAGTTGTGAATTCTAGCAATCACCCTACTTTGGATTTTTTTTTTTTTTTCCATTCAGTACACTTTAATTTTATAAACCTGAAGCTGGAGAAAAACTCTTGTAAAAAGTGATGTGCTAGCCACAGGAATACCTGCATATTTAGATCTACATTTACAGTGTCTCTTTGCAACTGCACAGCAGCCAGTTTCAGGTTCTCCTCAACTGAAAAAACAAAAGGAACCAGCTCCCGCTTTCTGAGAGAAACAGCAAGCAAAGGCAGACCCACTGCTGGTCAGAAAAACAAAACTGCCCCATGAACCAGTGATTCACATTTATGTTGAATGAAATTAATCTTTTCCTTGCCCTTTATTTTACAGGTGCAAGCTGCAGTTTCTCCTGATCAAAGCATTATCAAAGGCAAAATTTAAACCCTCAGATTCAACCAAGTATCATCTACTGGCCGAGTTTGCACTGCAACCTTGGACTGAGCACTCTCTGTGAAAGGGAGTGAAAATGAATACTTGGTCCTCTGAAACAGTATAAATCTTCCAAACTTTTAGGTGCCTAAGCATCAGCAACACTGAAAAGTAAAGAGAAACTTACCTTGATAAATTCTACTCTTTACCTATGGAAGAGGACAAACAAAAAGATTAGCAATAAAAAGTGATAAGTGAAAAATGTTATTAATATTCCCTATAGAAAAAAAGTGACCACTTCCATGCTGGTTAAAGCAGCATATGGAAAACACATCTATCACTGCCAATGAGTGTTGAGTAACACTACAAATGAGCTTAAGCCATTTTCTAATAAAAGCTCCCAGGCTAAAGCCCTGTCCCAGAGCCTTAGTAAACGCCTGTTTACTCACTCACTAAAGGGATACTAGTAACTGCCCACAGCTAATTTGCACAGAAAATGAAGCCATTTTGTATCAAACCACAGCCACAAACTTGCAAACACAAAAAAACCCCTTTGTAAACACAAAAAACCCCTTGCATCCCAGTTCTGTGCCCTCTAAAGCAGTATGTTTACATGACAGGTGCTTGTTTCGAAACTAACACCATAAAAGAAGACTTTCTGAAGCTTTTTTTATGTTGTTCTATTAACACTGGTTTTTGCATTTGAAACTGATCTGGCGTATTCAATATCAAAACTAAGCAAGGGAAAAAAACCTATCAATATTATTACAGAAAACATGTAGTTTTAGTTTATTTTTGTCAGGCAAATATGAAGTATTCCATAAATTTCCAGAGAAATATCGGGACTAAACTGGACAGCTATAAAATAAATTTGCCTATTTGATTTTCATCTCTCAGCTCCCAAGGAAAAGCACTGTTATAGTTGAGAGCTGGTGATAGACTTTTTGTTGCACATAAAATTATCCATGTAGGAATGGGAAGAAATGGAAAAGGCTCTCTAATGAGAATTAATATCATGTTTTTAGGTTTCTAAATGAAGTACCTGCAAGCAGCTGGACAACACGAAGTGGGGAGGATTAACTGTTTGTTTTGGATATAGCCAGCAACAGGCTCAAGCACATGGAAGGCTTCTCATTTCAAAGATATGCTGACCCTTTCCTCAGCCTTCTTTATTTACAGCATACTCCTCTAGTTTGCTTTCGAAATTACCTCTTACTAAGCAATCTTCAATGACCAGCTTATAGAAAATGCTTCTTAGCACTGCAACTTACTTTAGATATTCAGCCCAGCATTTAGCTCCCATTAATGTTTTAAACAGAAAAAGTAAAAACACAAAAGACTACATATCGCTTTGACGCCAGTAATGCTGAAACAGTTTAACCATACAAAAGACCACTTAGTTTGTGAAACATCAGCAGGCTTGCAAGCATGAAGTATACTCACTGAAAGGCAGGTTCTCCAAAAAAATATAGCAAGCGTGACAATTCCCACTAAGGCAGTTATAATAACAGGCTCCCATGGAAGTCCATGGAAATCAGGCCCAGGACGCATTTCCTCAGGCAGCGTGGCAACCAACTGCAAACGGACAGCAGTGACAGCTATGAGTGTGTTTTCATTAAATAGTGGGGTAAAACAAGCAGTCTGACAGGTGCCTTTATTCCTCCCATAAAACCAGAGAACCATCTAGAGGTTTCTTGCAGTTTTTCTGCAAACTGCAAACCGAAAATGAAGAAAACCACAGAGCAGCCTGGTGCTGACATTTCAATGCAAAACTCGCGAGTACCAGGAGGACACCTGACAGTGGCAGTCTGCTGGCAAAGAAGAGTCACACCAAAATGAGTACACACTGATGCGTACAATTTGTATTACACAGCACTGGTAGTTATTTGACCTGTTTCCAAAAAACGCTATAAGGATGGAAAACTACAGAAAAAAATAAACCCGAACAGTTTTACATCTGGGTGTTTGTGCCAATCCAGTGCAAGTGGCTCAGATCTGCTCCCAGCTGTTGCCCCTGTCAGAGGGTCATATGCCATGAGTCTCCTCCTCTACCTGGAGGTCAGAGAGCACCTGGGGAAGGTGCGAATGCCTGGTACAAGTTATGGGGCTGATAGTGACTTGACATGGCGCTCAGGGAACAAACCGTGCGAGCCACACGGGAGCCGCTGCATTCTCCCTTACTTTGCTCCTACTTACCCCCTCTCTCTCCCTACCTTCTCCACAGCCGGCAGTGAGGGGACGGAAAGGAGGGCGCACACCTGCCCCTGCACAGCCCGGCCGGGGGGCGAGCTCTCCCCGCCATCCGGGGAGGCCGGCAGCGGTCCCTGACGCCAGCGGCCGCCTCCGCTCCCGCGGGATTGCCCCACACTGCGGGCCGGGGGCGCGGAACGCCAGCCCCCCTCACGGCGGGGTGCGCCGGGGTGACCCCCTGAGGGAC